AAGTAAGTGCAGCTGCCCCCTTAAGGATTTGCAGCCTGCTTGTATCATCACTTAGGGTGAGAATTTGATATTCATAGATGATCTATGCAGTATATTAAGCTTAGTTTTTTGTTTATTTACTAGATAATCTGCTTTGATCTGCTTGCTAGCCCTTATATTCATTTAAAGTCTATCTTTTGTAGTTAATAAACTTGTTTTTGCTTTGTCTAAAACCAGTGTGTGGGAACCATACAACAGGGGCAGAAAGCTGTTCTATATTCCTCTCCACATTGAGGGAGGGGGCAAATTTCATGAGCTTATGTCTTACAGTTCTCTGTGCAGCTCAAGATGGCATAATTTTGGCTTTACATTCCAGAGGGGGTGTGTGCCTGTTTAGCTGGGATGTTCCCTAGCTGGAGCCTTCCCATGCAGTAGCTGGTTAGAGCAACTGCATGTAACTGCAGATGTGCATGTCCCTACCTGTACATGTGCTGGTGAAAGTGCAGGATGGAGCCTGGAGATAGCTTGGCAGGCTGGTCACTTCAGTACGGTATATGATACCCCAGGCTGGAGGGTCAGAGGGCTCAGTGGTACCCCAATTCCAGGTGTCACCCCAGGCGGGAGGGAAACCCGTCAAATATACATGTAGGAGTAAAGTTTGCCATCTATATTTAGAGGTTGGTGGACTCTATCTTGGGAAGCCAGGACTTGGAAAAAGGATTTGAGTTCTTGGTGACTAATCAGCTGAATGTGAGCTCCCTGTGGGATACTGGGCCAAAAGAGCTAATGTGATCTTGGGATGTACAAAGAGGGGAATCTCGAGTAGGAGCTGAGAGGTTATTTTATCTCTCTATGTGGCACTGATGCAACTGCTGCTGGGATGCCATGTCCAGTTGTGGTATCCACAGTTCAAGTAGGATGCTGAAAAAATGGAGAGGGGTCAGAGAAGAGCCACAAGAATGATTCAAGGTTAGAAAACCTGCCTTAGAGTAAGAGACTCAGGGAGCTCATTCTAAAGCTTAACAAAGAGAAGGTTACCTGGTTCCTTGATCATAGGCTCTAAATATCTAGAGGGGGGGAAATAGTTAACAATGGGCTCTTCAGTCTAGCAGAGGAAGGTCCAACATGATCCAATGGCTGGAGTTTGAAGCCAGACAAATCCAGACTGGCAATAATGTGTAACATTTTTAACAGTGGGAGTAATTAACCATTGGAACAATTTACCAAGAGTCATGGATTCTCCATCGCTGGCAATTTTTGAATCAAAGTTGGATGTTGATTGAACAGATCTTCTCTAGAAATAACTGTGGAGCAATTCTCTGGCCTTTGCTTAGGGTTGCCAATTTTCCCAACTGGATGCCATTTGCAGCAATCTGTCCAGTCAGGAAAGTTGGCAAATAGTGTCCAGACCTAGGCAGAATCATGCTTCACATTGTACTGATGGGGAAACTGAGGCCCAGGGAGATTGTTTGTAAACCTGCCTAAGGGATTTGGATGCTCATCAGCAGTTCCATGGAAATCTCTGTCCACAAAAATCCTGGGCAGATCTGGGAACTGGTCCCAGATTTCTTGTGTCCCAGCCCTGTGCCTTAGCTCTGCAGCTGGCCTCCCTGTCTGGGGCATAGACTAGCAGAAGGGACCCAAAGGCGCCTCTGGGGGCTGCGTCACACAATACCTTGGGCTGGTCTGAGAGCCCCAGCTGTATTCAGGGTTGGATTTGCACTTTGGCACCCCTAGAAGCAGGGGTTTGGAACCCCCCACACACACCGCTGCAGGCAGTGGAGGTTCCCCCACCACTTTTATCTTTTAAGCACCCCACCATCTAGAGCCCCTCCACCCACAGACCCTCCACTGCCCAGCATCCATCGCACAGGCCCACCACAACTTCCCAGTGCCCCACACAGACTCCCCAGTGCCCAGCACCCCCCACCCCTCACTGCTCAGAGACCCCCCACAATCTGCCCCAGAGACCCTCTCTCAAGCACTCAGCGGCTTCACTGGGAAATGACTCTGTCTGCCGGGCTGAGCGAAGTCTGCATGTAGCCGTCTTCCCCTCAGCCCCACCTCTGCCCCCAGCCAGACCTGGGAGCAGCAAAATTTGAATTTTTAGGTGCCCCTAGAATGCCGGCACCCCAGGCACCTGTCAGGGTTCCCTCCCCACTCTGAACTCTGGGGTACAGATGTGGGAACCCACATGCATGACACCCCCTAAGCTTCTTCCTACCACCTTAGGTTAAAAACTTCCCCAAGACACAAATCCTTCCTTTTCCTTGGATGGGTACTGCTGCCACCACCAAGCGAGTTAGACAAAGATTCAGGCAAAGGACCATTTGGAGTTCCCGTTTCCCTAAAATATCCCCCCAAACCCCTTCACCCCCTTTCCCGGGGAGGCTTGAGAATAATCTACCAACCAAATAGGTAAACCAGGTGAGCACAGACCAGACCCTTGGTTTTTTTAGGACACTAAAAACCAATCAGATTCTTAAAAACAGAAATTTATTATAAAGAAAAGAAAAGTAAAGAAGCACCTCCGTAAAATGAGAATGGAAGATAATTTTACAGGGTAATCAGGTTGAAAACACATAGGATTCCCCTCTAGGCAAAACTTTAAAGTTACAAAAAACAGTGATAAACTTCCCTCTTAGCACAGGGAAAATTCACAAGCTAAAACAAAAGATACTCTAACACATTTCCTTGCTATTACTTACTATTTCTGTAAGTTTACATGTATCATTCAATAGGAGCTAGATTACTTGCTCGATCTCTCTCTTTGTCTATGAGAGAACACACACAAAGAGACAAAGCAAAAACCTTCCCCCCACAGATTTGAAAGTATCTTCTCCCCTTATTGGGCCTTTTGGTCAAATGCCAACCAGGTTATCTGAACTTCTTAACCCTTTACAGGTAAAGGAGGGATTTTATGCTACCCTTAGCTGTATGTTTATGACACATGCCTACTGTGCTTAATGGGAAATCCAGCCCTGGTCACACTCAGGAGAGGCTGCAGGGTTTGCTACAGGTGCTTGGCCCCAGCAGGATCAGCAGGAAGACCCTCATTGCAGCCCACAACTCCGCTACTGGGTGAAGGCCCTGCTTCCCACAGACCCCATTCCCCCTCACCCCTTGGACACTGGGCCCCTTGGAGCAGGAGAAAGGTTTCTTCCTTGCTCTGGTGTCCACCAGGCCTGGCTGCAGATGTGATTAACCCTATCTCCTCCGTACTACAGGTGTAAGAAACACCCCTGGGCTTTTTTGCACTGAGATACTCAGACCCATCAATTGCAAGACTAGGAGGGACTATGGTGACAGTCAAACCTGGCCCCCAGGACATCCCAGAGCCAGAACCCACCCAGCGACTCCTGCCTCCACCACGGCCCCAGGTCAGTTGTTCCCATGGCTCCATGTTTAATGTTTGCACATTTTAGTCCCAGCCAGACCCTTTTCTGACTCCAGCTCCTGGCTGTTGGGTCTTGTCCTGCCTTGGCCAGTGAGTGTGAGGATATAGATATTCAGGACTGTCTGTAAAGGCCTAGACTCTAAGAATTTAGGTGTATTCTTATCACTTAGCTAGTTACAGAGGTATAAAAGAAAGAATCAAAATCACTGTCTGCCAGTGTAAGGGCCTTCTCTTACTGTGACAGTCTGAGGCCCTGTGCTTAGGCTAAGGCCTTTGGCTAAGTAACAGAGGCAACCATAAACTGGGAAGCGACCGGTCACCTCCTCACATTCCAAACTAGTCACATTGAAAGAAGGTGCTATTGGGCTGTTAGGATACAATCCTGTCCTGATAGTGCCTGTCACCTCCAGAGAAAGGGACGTGCCTCGAAGATGTAAAAGGAAACTTAGTTTGATAGCATCCTGTCTGGCAAGAACTCACTTAGCAATAGCTAGGATGTGAAATCCTCATTTCTGTGTTTGTTGTATCACTGTAGTCCCCATTTTCCTATTGTTTGTCTGTATAATCTCTGTCTGGTTCTGTGATTGTTCCTGTCTGCTGTATAATTAATTTTGCTGGGTGTAAACTAATTAAGGTGGTGGGATATAATTGGTTACATAATCATGTTACAATATGTTAGGATTGGTTAGTTAAATTTCAGGAAAATGATTGGTTAAGGTATAGCTAAGCAGAACTCAAGTTTTACTATATAGTCTGCAGTTAATCAGGAAGTGGGGGGGGGGGGAATGGGAATCATGTTTGGCTAAGGGCAGGAATGGGAACAGGGCCACAGGTAAGATTCTGTGGTGTCAGAGCTGGGAAGGGGGAAACTAAGGAAGGAAACTGGAATCATGCTTGCTGGAAGTTCACCCCAATAAACATCGAATTGTTTGCACCTTTGGACTTCGGGTATTGTTGCTATCTGTTCATGCGAGAAGGACCAGGGAAGTAAGTGTGTGAAGGAATAAGCCCCCTAACAGTGAGGTTGAAGAACCCTCTGCTCTCAGAAACCCCCACCCCATGGAGGTGCCTATAGATGGGGGCTGAGTCCCCTCTTTGCCTCCAATACCCCCAGGAGATTGCTCTTCTTGGAGCTCTCCCCACCAGGAAGGGTCTCCAGATGTCAGCTCTCTAGAGATCTGCCCTAGCTCTGCCTGCAGTGCCGGGCTGGAGGGCAGAGACACTGGGTGGGTTCTGGCTCTGGGGTGTCCAGGTGGGTAAGTCTGGAAGGTCAGCATTGTCCCTCCTTGCTTTGAAGTCTATGTGTCTGGGAATCTAGGTGCAGAATAGTCCAGAGGTTTCCTTACACTGGTAGCTGGAGGGGGAGCAATGTTAACCACATCCTCAGCCAGGGGTATTGGGAAGCAGTGTCAGCTACATCGCGGGGGCATCATTAGCCACTGTCCCCAGCCAGTTTGTTTAGGCAACAGAGCAGAAAGGAAACCTTTCCCCCATTGTGGGTGCGGCTGTGACCTGCCAATTTCCCACTGGGTGTCTCTGCACCTGGCCCAACCAGGATGGGGGTTTCCAAGCAGCAGGGTACATGCCCCTGTAGTTAGCAGGTTCTGCCCTCCCCTCCCCTCACCTGGTCCATATAACCCCCAGGGCTGAGGTAGAGTCTCCGTTCATGTCCCTGGATGGTTCCAACGATGCAGCTCTTGACCCTGGTCCTGCTTCCCCCGGCCTTTCCCCTGTCCCCCGACTGAGAACTGTTCAGGGAGGGGAGCCTTGGGAGCAAATCATGCCTCTCGGATGGACCAATCAGAAGCTGTTCTACAGCTACGTCATAACACAAATTCTTCCTGAACCAATCATATCATACCAAGATTTTAAAACAAGAGCCCTCCACCTCCCTCCATCCCTCTCCCCTCCCCCAGCTGTTAAGCTTTATAAAGGGAGGATGTCACATCCAAGAACATTTCAAAAGAAATGTGTAACTGCGTGAAGGAGTACGCTAAATACCCCCACGTTCTCCCTTGTTATTTGAAGCTGTTATCTACTGTGATAAAATGTTCATTAGCATGCTTTTATAAGACAAAAACTATCGCTTTGTGAAGCTCAGAGATAGCCTGTCTGAAGAAACCCCCCTTCCTCCATTTAACACTTTTGCAAAGCCCAGGAATTCTTTTCTTATCATGAAATAACATAACTGCATGTCAGGAATATTAGCTGGTTTTATACTGGATGACACTAAGAAAACAGCTTAAACAAAAATTAGCTACGTTTTTCAAATTTAAAAGGAAAACCTTGTATTTTCTCCTCCCCCCCTCCCCCTTCTAACTGTTTTGAAGATACGTATTTTCTTTGGCTAACAGTGAAAATACAGATACTCCTTTTAACAAAAGATGTTTTATTTCCCTCAAAAAATACACCAACTTGCTTTAGATTTATAGGAAACAGTGAATGTCCTATTCCCAGCACTGACAATAAAAGTTTAAAGGAGAAAAATTATGTAGCAACAGGTCCCCCCTCCTTTTTGTGCCTAGAAGACAACAGTGAGAAGGAAGTAGATAAAACTCCCTTCTAATTGTTTTGAAGATAAGCTCCTTTCTTAATTCTTTGGCTAAGAGTGAATACAAAGATACATCTTTTAAGAAAAGATGTTCTACTTCTCTCAAAAAACACTGGCTTGCTTTTTAAACTTTTGCCCAAAGGAAAAATTCTGTAAAGAAATTATACAACTTTTTACAACCAGAGGCCCCGCTTCTAAAATAAAGATAATGACCGACAACTCCAGGGTTAAAAACCCCAACCCTCAGAAAGACCCCAAGCCATAAAATGACTTTAGCTAAAAACTTTGTAAAGTGTGAAAGTCCCATTCCCAGCATTGACAATAAAAGTTCAAAAGAACCTATATTAGCAGGTTCGTACAGTGGATGGTGCTAAGAAAGCAGCTTATACAAAAAGTCGCTCCTTTTTTCAAATAAAAAAGGAAACCCTTGTATTTTACAACAAAGAGATGCATCTCCTAAGATAAACGCCCACCCTGGTTATCTGAGGAAACACAAGCCTTCAGTAAACCATAAAAACCAGTGTTGTATGAGCTGTAAGGTAACCAGGTGTCTTTTTTAGCAGTATTTTGTAGAAGTTCAGTGACATAAAAATGTTCACGATACACTTGCCTAGCCTTTGAAAAATAGTGTTTTTCAAGCACCAAACCAGGAGCCGAGTAGAAGCTGAAACCTGTCGCAAGTGAGGGGCGTTTACATAACGTTTTTCAATACAAAACGAAGAGTTAGCATGCAGTCAGGGCAATTTGAAGCAGCATACTTTTAAAAAAAGCTCTAAACTTTTGCAGCAAAAACACAGGCTTAAACTGAAATAACCGAAGCCTAAAAAGATGCTAAGTTGACTCAGTTTCCATAACTAAATAATGATCGTCTCTGTGACACAAAGATCTCAGTCTAACTGCCTTACCTGATAAGATCAACCTCCTCCCGCCCCCCAGGGCCCCCCCCCCCGGTAATGCTAGGCTACATGGGAATGTAAATTGTGAAGAAAGAAGTTCCTGGGGGACAGGAATAGTATATAAAACCCTCACGTAAAGCAGGGTTTTACAATAATAAAATAAAATGTAAAGACATGTTATAGCTTTCTAAATGGTTATGCGGGGTCTTAAAATATAGCGTTAGTTTGTTTTTAAACTTTTGCCTCAGTGAATTACCTGGAATACAAAAAACTGCTTTCCCTGTAAATTGTAATGATAGCTTTAAAAGCCCAGGGTGTGGTTAAACATCTCCTCTCCCTACCCCCCAACACCACACACACACACACACACACACAGAGACAAGTGATGGGTTTTACAATAAACAAATTAAAAAGACAAAAGTCACAGCCATAGAGAACGGGGCATTGGGGATAAGAGAGCTGTCCAGAGGTTTTAGGAGAAATTGATAACTGACTGAACTCTTTTTTAGCCACACGGGTTTGTAGGCAGCCATTCTTTGTGAGATGTTATGCTTGTGCACAGGCAAGCATTTGTGTCAGGGTTCCCTCCCCACTCTGAACACTGGATTACAGATGCGGGGACCCGCATGAAAGACCCCCTAAGCTTATATTCTACCAGCTTAGGTTAAAAACTTCCCCAATGCACAAATTCCTTTCCTTGTCCTTGGACAGTATTGCTGCCACCACCAAGTGATTTACACAAAAATTCAGGAAAAGGTCACTTGGAGTCCCTATTCCCCCAAAATATCCCCCCAAGCCCCTTCACCCCCTTTCCTGGGGAGGCTTGAGAATAGTATACCAACCAATTGGTTAACAATGTGAGCACAAACCAAACCCTTTGGTTTTTAGGACACTAAAATCCATCAGGTTCTTAAAAGAAGAACTTTATTACAAAAAGAAAAAGGAAAAGAATCACACCTGCAAAATCAGGATGGAAGGTAACTTTACAGGGTAATACAAAGATTTAAAACACAGAGGACTCCCCTCTGGACTCAGTTTCACAGTTACAAAAAAAGGAATAAACTACCTCTTAGCATAGGGAAAATTCACAAGCTAAAACAAAAGATACTCTAACGCATTCCCTTGCCTTACTTACAATTTTTATAATCTTAGATGGATCATTTCAGGTAGGTTTTCAGGAGATGTTTTACCTGCCTGGTCTCTCTCTGTCTGGAGAGGGAAAAAACAATGAGAGCCCAAACAAATCCTCCCCTCTCCCCCAGATTTGAAAGTATCTTCTTTTCTTATTGGTCCTTCTGGTCAGGTGCCAACCAGGTTATTTGAGCTTCTTAACCCCTTACAGGTAAAGCGATTTAGTACAGCTACAAGGAGGGATTTTATGCTACCCTTATCTTTATGTTTATGACAGTTTGTCATTTAGAATCCCTTTCCCACTCTATGAGGTATTATCTCCCCCAGCCAATGGCCTATCATAAATAATATTAACAAAAACACAGAGGGATTACATACTTGAAGATACTTTGTAGTGGTGCCTGCAAAGCAACAATTACAATTTCGTTTATTATTATCTTGTCTCGACACCTTAGAGAATTTTTTGTTGTGTTTTTATAAAACACTTTTATGCAAACTGAAGAGGAGTACTTGTGGCACCTTAGAGACTAAATGCATCTGATGAAGTGAGCTGTAGCTCATGAAAGCTTATGCTCAAATAGAATCATAGAATCTCAGGGTTGGAAGGGACCTTAGGAGGTCATCTAGTCCAACCCCCTGCTCAAAGCAGGACCAATCCCCAATTTTTGCTCCAGATCCCTAAATGGCCCCCTCAAGGATTGAACTCACAACCCTGGGTTTAGCAGGCCGATGCTCAAATCCCTGAGGTATCCCTCCCCCCATAAAATAAATTTGTTAGTCTCTAAGGTGCCACAAGTACTCCTTTTCTTTTTGCAGATACAGACTAACATGACTGCTACCCTCAAAGCTGTCTTTATGCAAACTGTAACCCTAGATGCTATACAGTATTAAATAACATGCACCAGGAGATGAAAGACCTGAGACATTGCTGAAAACAGAGGTGTCATGATCACTAAAGTGCTAATGCAGAGGTCCTCCAGGAAAATTAAAAGACACAGCCTAAGCGGAACATGGTATGATTTAAGAGCAAGCAAGTTAAGGAAGTATGGATTGGATGAATGGACTATAAGCTGGATAGAAAGCTGGCTCGATTGTTGGGCTCAACGGGTAGTGATCAACGGCTCAATGTCTAGTTGGCAGCCAGTATCAAGTGGAGTGCCCCAGGAGTCGGTCCCACCACCTTAATTAGGCTCGAGCATTGTCACTTTCCCCAGACGGTGACGATGCTGATCCTGATCCTGCTGCCCACAGCCTTTCTCCTGCCCCCTGGGGCTGGGGCTGGTGAGTGCGGGAGCATCAGGGATCATGGGGAGTGGAGCCGGGAGCTTTCTGGGCTGTTTGCAAATCCCAGATCCTCCGCAGAGTCAGATACATCTGCCAGGGTGATCGCTGGCTCCCAGGACCCGGCTAGGGAAGGGTTTGGAGGTGGGAGTGAAGGCTGGGTGGTGGAGCTGGTACTGAGATAATGGCCCCGAGAGACACACAGAGAGACAGAGAGCAGGAGAGAGACACTGGGGTATCTCAAGTGGGGGCTGGGAGCCAAGACGCCTGGGTTCTATCCCCTGCTTCGGAGTAGGGTCAGGGCCGTCCCTAACCATACACAAAGTACGCAGCTGCGTGCTGTCCAGCCCCATGGCCCCCGCCCCTCCTCCGCCCCAGCCCCGCCCCCACTCCCCTGAGGACTGCAGCAGGGTCAGGCCTGCACTCACCGGTGGCGGGAAGTTCCCCCCTTCTCCCCTGCCCACCCCACGGAGGCCTGGGGCTGCGTAGGGCCCCAGAATGGCTAGTGAGTAGGGTCTGAGTAGGGTCTAGTCATTAGACCAGGGCTGGGGCTGGGAGTCAGGACTCCTGGGTTCTAGCTCATTCTTCTTTTGTCTGTGCTGTCATTTTAAATCGAAGTTCTTTAGGGAAGGGACTGACTTTCCCTGAGGGTCTGCGCAGCACCCGGCAGAACGGGGCCCTCCTCTGGGTTGGTGGCATCATATGCAAATAACAGCACCAGACTGTCAAAACAGCCTCCTTCATATGGATGTCAAACTAACATCCATGAGTCGTCTGTTAAAACGTTCAGATGTGAGCTGCACACAAACTTGTATGGCTTTAATTAACCTGATTTTAAACCACATCTGTAGTTCAACTGGGTCAG